AGAGAGAGAGAGAGAGAGAGAGAGAGAGAGAGAGAGAGAGAGCTTGGATATTAAATTTATTTTAAAAAAATTATAATAAAATAAAAGAAAACCCCATAAAAGGTCCCTGGATAGTTAAATGACGGAAATACCCTTAATTTAACGGTAGAAAGCTAACAGAGTTAGCAAAAAGGACCAAACATCACAAGTTTTGAAAGCACATTAACCATCTATGATATGAGGAAACCATAGGGACAATTTATGATGTTTTTTCCAAAAATATTAAAGAAAAATATTTTAACTCATTATTTAACATGTTTTTTTACATACTTTATACATTTTTAACAATTTATAATTTTACCAAGCTATATTTTCCAATAGAAAAAGATTTTGTAATAATTTAGAGGTATATTTTCGAAGAGTAATAGAACATGTTTCCTTTATAATTTAGCTGAATTACGTTAAAGGAGTTATTTACGTTTGTGGTTCCTGATATAGTTAGAGATAACTTGCACGTTAGTTGGTATTTCTTGTTTAGTTTTTCAATTGTAGTATAAAATTCCTATCTGTCCTTTCCCTTTGTGTAAACTGTAAAGAATCGTTTGTGTTTTCGTTTTTTATTAAATAAGAGCAAAAATATTTTTAGGAAATAATCCTAACTACTAACTTGCCCGTCCCGCGTTGTGACGGTGTTACTTCATTTTTGTAAGTTGAATTTTGACCATTGTATTGAGTATTACCAAAAATTAGGTATTGTTGCAATTGTTGGTAGAAAAATATACAATGTCAATATTATTTACTAACTTCAATTTATATCTTCGTATAAAAATGTATTATATGTGACCAAAGTTATACATAGGAAACGTATATAAAAATAAGTATGAAAATATACACAAATTTTATATTGAAACTTAAATAAATTTGAATTTATACCAAAACATACATAAAACTAAACATGTACTTTTTTTAAGTTAAAGAACAGAATTCCAAATAAAAAAACATATTATATGAGACCGACTCATACGTAGGAAACATACATAAAAATATGCATGCCAACGTAAAAAAATTACGTCAAAAGTAGACAAACTCGAATTTATATGGACACGTACATATAAAAAAAGAAATAAGTTTTTTTAAAAAACTAACAAACAAAAGTTCTAAATATACATCAAAACGTTGACTACCTCGAGTGTATACCGACACATAATTAAAGATAAGCACGTAAAATACAGTTGCAATTGTCGATAGATAAATATACAAGGTTGGTATCACTGAAGAGATGTATTATTGTATTGATAAAACATATTATATGTGACTGGACTCATACGTAGGAAATGTACATAAAAAAACATACACAAAATTTACGTTGAGATGTAAAAAAACTCGAATTTATATCGACACGTACATAAAAATAAGTAAGTAATATTTTTTATAAGGTGACGAATTGAAGTTCAGTAATAATCAAAATTATATTATATATGACCCGACTCATATATAGGAAGCGTACATAAAAATAAGCACAAAACGTAAAAAGAAAATTGACGTCGAAACATAGACAAACTCGAATGTATACCGACACGTATATAAAAAACAAGTAAGTTTTTTTTAAAAAATATTAACTGTAGCGCCCGATTTGTCAGGTATAAAATCGATCTAATATTCTATTTAATTCAATAAAAGGTGGTGAAGGGGTTCGTGAGTATGTCGGGCGTACATTAGGTACGCACGGCGTACTCCTTGCATGAGTATCATCAGGGCGATCCCGACGTACGCTGGGCGTACTCAAGCTAGAGACAAACCCTAATTTTTAGGGTTTGCACCATATTTAAGGTCCTTAAGTTCTTCAAATGCATCACCTTTTCAACATCTATTACGTTTTAGTGCTAACCTCGAAACCATAACCATCTTGAGTGCATTTTGAGCTTACTTAGAGTGTTGGGGGTGTTCTTTTGTGGTTTTGAAGAAGAAAGAAGTTTGAGGAGAAGCAAAGGAGAAGGAGTTTGTAGATCCAGAGTTTGTACACCATTCCTAGCCTTTTAAGGTATAAAGTCTTAAACTAGTTCATTCTAAGCTTAGATCTAGACCTAGGGAAGATTTTAGCATCTTTTGGTCCCATAACTTGGTCTTTTGGAGTATGGGCTACTCTACGCCATTTGAGCTGTCCTTTTGGACTCTTAGGAGTTCATGGAGCCATAAAAATCGTATCTTGGAGGTTAAGACTCAACCATGCATGTGTTGGTGACAACCTAAGAGAGTTAGTGTAACACCGTAATTTTTCAAACAATTTTTTTTTCATTTAAAAGCCCAATTATCTCATTTCAAAATCAAAAAAATTCCACAAACATCAAATTATCAAAACACATGTCCCAAAACTGTTTATAACACAAATCCAGGATCCTCCAAAAAAACGTATCTCCAACTCGGGTGTGTGTACAATCAAGTCGGCGCCTTCCCGTGATCCTGAGAAGTGCTTGAAACACATAACACATAACACAGTAAGCACAAAACTTACTGAGTTCCCCAAAATACCACATACATTTCATTAACCACTCTAGGCTATAACTCAATAAGACCTTCTGGTCGATGTGTCTCAGTGGGACCCTCCAGTCCCAACTCAGTAACTCATAATAACAATATTCAGCATAAATCACAAATACATAATGCGGAATATCACAATACACAGATAAGCATATAAGACAA